ACAGATTCCGACACTTACTTCCGTGTGCCACAAAACATCAGTAAAATTGCCCAAAATTCTCTCTGAAATATTGAATATTAAATAGTGGAAATATGAAAAATTCGACAGACACGCGCGCAGTCTACATTTCTGTCTATTAACCGTAGATCCCCGAAGAGGATGCAATATTTCACCTTCCCGGTTCGACGCGGGAAGAAGACAGGCGAAAGGCGAAAAGTCGCGCGAAACGAGCTTAGCACACCGTATGAATCATCGTAGTTCGCGTTCAATTAGGTCGCAACGAGAGGAAGCTTCCACGAGCTCGATCGATAGCGACGCCGCGAAAGCACAATAAGATGATTTCCTCGCGCACCTTTATCGTCGTCGACGATACGCCTTTTACTTAAGACGCGTTCCTCCGGCGAGGAATCGCGGCTGAACGCTTCCTCGATCCGCGCGGATCGTTCGACATTTCCCAACCTGTTCGCCGATGCTTTCTACCCGATAAGTCGGGACTGGCTTCGAACGAGCGGAGATAATTATCCACGATGTCGTCTTTTGTCGCGGAACTTTCCATTGTTATTTCCATTGATGGATTGCCTATGTATCACGACGAAAGTTATCTGCCTTTCGTGATAACACCCCCGAGTTGTAAGGAGCCAAAGAATCAATAAAGTTAATCAGTTGAGCTATAAGAATACTTTAACCTTTTACAACGAATTGCGCTTTCTTTCGTTATAACGTCAACTCTCTGTTGCAATTGGAAATGAGAAGAGAAATAGTGATACCGAGTGTTGGTGGAAATACAGGTGATCAATCATCTTTCGATTAATGAACAATAACAAATACTACAGAGGTCGCGTGTCGAAGTTACGTGCAATAAAATCTGATGCATCGAAGATTAGTTTTTCAAATTCAATTTTCTTGAAAATTCATCGAGCAATGTTTGAACTGGGAATGTAGTATAGAAATGGATCGAATGTTTTTGAATATTAAAGTAAAAATTGAAATCTAGTAATTTTTATTAACAACTTTGTACGGATTGGATTTCCTTGACGCTAAATTTCATCGCATTCTGTGCTAGTCTCCCGCGCTATTTATTAAAATATATTTGCACAGGCAGTAAAGGCTATATCTGCCGTAAAACTGGCTTTATGAATACCGCAGGAGCCGACGTTAATCCCCTGCTAACGTAATTTCACAACGAAGCACATTCACACGTGTAATAAAATCTTCATTTGATTTTATTATAAAATTCCATTAAACGCGGGCGGAAGTACAAGTCGTTAGATAAATTGAATTTCCAATTTCGATCGCTATAAAAGACAGCTCTTTTCGATACGCATACAATGTTGTGTAATAAGGATGAAAAGAAACACTTTGATGAAGCTTGCGCGCTGCATTGCCAGGCTGTATTATCGTAGTAATTTGAATTGCTTTAGAGACGAAGTTTATGGTGGAACAGCAGAAGTTGTGATTCGTTTGTCGCCGATAACTCTGAATGACCCTCTTTTCACGGGTACAGTGTTCAAGTAACCATAACGGTTTTACTTAGTAAAACAAAAGTTACTCTACCGTGTAAAGTTCGATCCTCCGGACGAATGAAATATGACGTTCAGGTGAGGGTGACGTATCCGTCAATTGCTTCTGCTGATAGTTCACGAGTTTTTCTAAACTCACGCCTTCCGGCTATGCGAGAGTTATTTTTATTTCAGCCACTCGTCGCCGATTAATTCCCGCTTCTCGAACTTCTCGGAATTCTAGCGTCGAAGCGTTCATTATATATAAGGTAAATTTCCTTCATAAATGAGGATTGACACGGCTAGTCACGCGATAAAAAATTCCCTCGATATGATTTATTTCAGAAACCAATGCGATTATTCTTTTTGTGCATTTCACGCATCACAAAAGCTACGTCAATAACACATTCTAGAATGCTTAATTGAAGTTCCAATTTCAATTTCAAATTTAAAAAAAAAAAGGATTGCGCTACTTTGTCAATTTTTTCAATTTTTTTGTTTCGCGGGGTCGAGCAGATTTGGCGAATGAGTGGTTCGTTTACGTCTGAAAATGTCGAGAGGCAAATTCGTTCGATATTTGAAAGGAATTGGCAAAGGAGGCAATAATTTAATTAATGTTAATAATTATGTAGGATTTAATAATTAACGTTAATTGACACATTAATAGACAGAAGATGATAATGTGTTATTAATATTGTAAATTAACGCTTAGATAGAAGGTGATAATCTACGGATATTGAAATAGTTCACACGTTGCGAATTAATACCACGCATTATGTCACAATCTGCATTTTCACACTGACCCCAAACAAATGCATCCTTTGAATCGATCTATCAAACCAACCGTCATAACAGAATAATAATGAAATTCATCGACAGCTATTGACGTGCTAACCGTGCAATTAGTCAAACAGCTGTGCTTTTAAAATTTTGTACGGCCGCTCAAATCACTTTAAATATACATATTACGTGAAATATCATTGATAAATTGTGCTATATTGCTATTAAAAAATTACTGTCTTGAAATATTCGAATGACCACTACACACCCTTCAACGTTCGATTCAAAAGAATTTCAATTTAAAAGAAATCTTTAATTAGTTTGGAATTTTTCTCTGCTTACCGTGCATCGGATTCAGGATACGCGAGAAATAATATTGAAAACGGCGGAAAACTCTAAAGAAAGGAGTCAAAATGAAAACACAGAAACAAAATTATAGAGTTTTGATTTGCAAAGAAAGACTTGTGCAAAGGTTTATGAGAGGAGAGGATAAATAAAAGACCTAATCAACGTATACGAGAGTTTCTCTAAAATCTAAAAAATATTTCTCTCGACGTTCAGTTCGATTTTTCCTCGTTACCAAGAAAGAAATTCCAAGATAGTACAAATTCTCTCACTACCAATAAAACGAATCAAATTTCAATGCTCTCGAGGAAGAAATTCCAAATTGGTTCAGACTGCAAACGAAATATCGTGAAATTAACGGGACAATGCTGGTTAGCCGGCGGACGCGAAAATCTCAACTAACCAATTCCGCGAAATTCCATTATAAATTAATTCGAACGCGTTCCCCGCTCGGCCTGTCATTCCTAACAAACGAACAAACTCGGCATACCCGGTCTCCGTCGTCTCTCGCGACAGTTCCCTCGCAGTTATTTCGTTAGCGTTGTTTAGCTGAAATTCGATTTCCTAGAGCCATAATCGCTCGATTCGCGGCAGCGCCACCGTTGCGTTCCCCTCTATTTCCGGGTAGCACGTTTCCGAGGCAGTTTCGCGCGTTGTTTACCTCTCGCGTTTATTCTTTCGCCGGGGCAAACGTTCGGTAATTATTATAGGCGAGAACGAGCGAACGCGCGGCGAGAAAGTTGCGAAGGGAGACGCGCAACAAGGTGTTGTGTTGCGTTCCTTGAAGAGGCTGAGAAAAACGAAAAGAAAAATAGACGGAGGGCGCGTGACGCGGTACGTAGCTCTTCTCTCTCTCTCTCTCTCTCTCTCTCTCTCTCACTCTCTCTCTCTCATTCTCTCGAAGTGCCGTGAAAGTCCGGAGTTCCGCAAGATTCCAGCGACGTAATTGAATTTTCCCGGGGCACGAAATTCAAACTCGTTTGAGCGTCGCCGCGCTGAAAACACTATGTTTCGCGCGCATCCTCAGCCATAAACCGGTAAATCCGATTTCGCCACCGCTTTATCCTCGCGTGTAAACGTCTCGTATCTTCTATTCTTTCGATATTTATATATCGTGAACGGAAATGTGCATCGCGCGTAATAAATTTTCCTACAAATTTCGTTTCGTAGCTTATGACGCAGATGTTTACCGATATTTTGCATTTTTTTCCAGTTTTGGTACAAGCTCTGAAGAGACTTTTAAGCGGGGGATGCGATAGAAAAAAATTTTTAATTTTTTAAAAACTGAACTAGATAATTCCTTCGCTGCCTGCCGACATAGAAAGAATCGTGTGAAATCGAGGAAAGAAATAGAATTTCGTTCGTCTGAACTAATTTAAAATTTCATTTCTCGTTTATTAGTAACACGTCGTCGCTAGTAAAGAAAAATTGAAATGTCGAAATTCGTCGACTGAGAAGAAATAACGTAACAAATTTTTAATAATATTAAAAGACCAGAGAAAGGAAAAATAGAATTTCGTTCTAGAAACGAGTCTAAACTAATTCATTTCTCGTTACCAACATCGTCGGTAATTAGTAAACTATTTATCAATTGAGAAGAACGTGACGTAATAAATTTTTTAAGAATTGAAAAATCAGAAAGATTTCTGCTCAGAGAGATCTAAGAGCAAGAGACTTGAAGGAAAAGAGTACTAAATAAAAGAGAAGAGAAATTAAAGAGACCGGTGAAACTAAACGAAATTACACTGGAAGAACTGGAAAAATGAGTATGTATTTCGCCGACATTCGTAAAATCTGTTGCGGACTGCTACTTAGAAACCTCGGCTCGAAGAAACTCGCAATCGTGAATATCCGACTGAATCCGTGCTACCTAGCGGTCCGGAATACTGATTACTCTCTAAAGTCTAGCGTTGGCAACTACATGGCACGCGTGCCAAACTATATAAAAATAATTATGTAATAAACTTTAACTTTATGTAACAAACTTGTATTTCTTAAATTTCTAATGTAGCACTAAAACCCTTCACCAGATTTTACAACGATTTTATTTCAAAAATCTGGGCGCCGTACAAAATCTCTTGTTTGCCAACGCCGGTCTTCTATCTAGAGTCTTCAAATCCTAAGCAATATCACCAGAAATACAGAGAGGCTGTGTAGAACATAGACTAAGTTACTCCTCAGTATCAAAATCGTATGATCCTCAGATAATGAAACTCGAGCTAAATTACTCTTTGCTTCACCAAGTTCGTCTGTTCAACTTCCTTGGATCTATGCAGTTACGAGAGAACTTTTTCACCCGACGAGAGATTTCTATATTCTTCGAAATATCACGAATGGAGAAATTGTGTAACAAGATTCGTCACGTTCGTGTTCCAGCTCCAGACATAAGGATCGTGGACGAGGCTAGACACGAGCTACGTGATCGCTACTACAAAACCGGAAGCGGTATCGAGCTGGCATGCGTCGCTCGACCTTCCTGCCCCGACTCCAGGATACCGCATCCCGTCTGGAGGAAAAATGGCGTGACGTTGCCGGATCACGTCAACGTTTATCACATTAACGGGTGAGCACGTGGTGTAGGAAAAACGGTTGAACGAACAGAGCCGCGACAGATAGCCAGATAAACGACCAGTTCGTTCCGAATCGTTCGTCGATTCGCCCAATTGTGTGTCCACGTATCAGTGAACATGTGACGCGTTTTATCAAAAAACGCGCGGCGAAAGCTGAAAGCCTGCTGAAAGCTGCATATCGTTCTACCTATGCTCTTTTCAGATAACGAGCTGAACCGTTTCATCTTCCCCCCGAGGCGTTCCGCCGAGAACGCTCAGTACCCTCGCAATCGCCACCTCCATTTCGACTTGTCGCTTCCGTTGCTTACGAGTATCACTCTTATCTCCTTCTTTTCGTTATTTATGTTTTCGGCGGTGTTGAATGGAAACTTGAAAGCTACTAGATTGCGTGCAGCGTCGAGTGCAGGCGAAGAAACTTAGGTGTTCGTTGGAACAATTATTTATTTTTATTATATAGATATATATATATATAATAATTATATGTATTATATATTATATATAATTATTTATCTACGATTTGAGCGAGTCTGACAATCTGCTAATTACAAGATGCAATGAATTTTATAAATCGTTCCAATTTTACGAATTTGATTTTCCTGATCTTTTCTAATTTCTGCCGATTTTATGAACTTTTTTTCCATCGCATTTGCATTTCTCTAAGTTTAAGTCTTGCATCTTCACGAATCGACGCCCAATCAAATAAAATGAATTTTCAAAAAGAAAGAGAAAGGTTTGACATAGTCGTGATCTAATGTCAGACCGTGTATGCCTGACGTATAACGTGACAATTGATTTTTCAGGTCAAACGAAGATCTGGTGACCAAGCTGTACATCGATCAGGCGAAAAAGACTGACAGTGGCGAATACTCGTGCTCAGTGAGCCAATTCAGTACCGCCGCGGTGCATATTCACGTCCTGAATGGTAAATGGAATTAAAGGTCACGCGTTTATACAGAGACGTTCACGACGATAGAATGCCCGAGAGGAATGTCCAAAATTGATGTTCAATTTCAATTTCGTGTTCCAGCGAGGGGAAATTAACTTGCATCATTATAATCACTTCCAGGCAAACTGATCGTTAACTGGATAAATGTCGAATACAGGGATTGAAACTGACTGTCGAGAGAGAATGTTTTTTGATAAACCGTGGTGTCTAATTAAAAGGTGGAAATGAATCTTAATGGGAAACTTGAGAATCTAATTTGAAGATTTAATCGAGTGGTAAAACGAATTTTAGCAAGACATTCGGAGATCCCGAATGGAGATTTGAAAAGTTACTTGATATAGCGAAAAGAATTTTAACAGGAAATTTAAAAGTTTAGAAAGAATCGCGAGGAGGCAATTTAAATGGTAAAGGCGCAAGTTTACATATCGACGCGTAGTTAGTTGAAATTTTAATTTTAGTAAAAACAGGAATTACAAATTGGTAAATTAATATTGATTAATTTTTAAAAAGAGATCAACGAACCAATCAATTAATAAACGAATATTCTCTTCCTGACTTCGATCCTCATGCTTTTTGGAGAAACTGAAAGGTAGTATTAAAATACTGATACAATTTCTTGGCTTTTAAAATGAACGACAAATGGAACGTGAAAGCTCAGATCTTGAAAATTATATGACTATCGAGAGCGTTGCTGATCGTAGCTGATTCGAAGCAGAAATCCTGAAAAATATTCAAGAGAATATTACGATCAGTGACACACATACGCCGAACGTTAATGGTCGCTCGTAAAAACCACTGCCTCGATCTGACTTTTTTAACAATCGCAAAGAACGCGTAATGTCGTTAGTCTATTTGCGACACGAGCTTTAAATAAACGCCTATAGTAAAGTAAATGTCGGGATGGTATTTATTGTCAGGCCTTGTTATACCTTTTTTCACAGTCTAATCTAACGACGGACACAAAGAATAACGTAACGTCCTCGAATTACGATGAAATGTTTTATCGAATTTTGAAAGACTATTTTTTTAAAATAGTTGCCCGAGTTCTCAAAAAATTTGTTACACTTTGTCAAACAATACTGATTCCCAATACTGAATCAAATAATTTCAATCTATATGTTGGAATTTAATTGGATTTAATTGAATCAAAAAAACAATTTTTTAATTTTGAACGCCAATTAAATTTAATGATTTTTACGAATCGAGGAATTTCGCTCGAGGTAATTATACCCTTTAATTAAAGAGAATAGTAAATTGTTATTTATCTAGCAAGGGAACATTCCAATTGGAATTTCTGGAATCGATTTAAAGCTTTAATTACTCAGGATCATAAAAAATTAAATACCATTTCGAAGATAGGGTTTCAAGGGTAATTATCACTGACCTAGATAATTGATAGTAACGTAATTTCAATCCTGTAAATAACAACCTGATCTTCAAATACTGATGCTTGAATTGATGAACTGATTAAATGTTCTTTTCGCCCTAGGTGAGAAGCAAGCAGCTGTTCACCACGATCAATGGAACGCATCGCGCACGAACCACGAAAAATTGAAAAACCTGTACATCACAATCGTCAGTCTTGTTTTCCTCCAGACTTGGATGATTAGCTCGCCATAAATCTCATTTAAAAAGAAAAGAAAAAAGAACGTCACAAGATTGATTGCATACTCTGTTTCGTCGCTCTGTATTTGTGAGTGTCTGCCAGAACGCGTTTCTAGCAACAGATCAGTATTACTACGATGGACGAAAACTGCCGAACAAATTGTAACGCAATAAGTTAGTGTGCATTGTGTACGATACTGCGAAACTACAGACAAATATTGTGAATACCGACTTATTTCATTCCGATCTGATATATTTTGCGGATATTTTGCTAGAGGAAGCTGATCGAACGTAAAAAAATGCATGTTACTGTTCAACGCAAGAAGATGTGTGATTAACAACAGAGCGTGGTGAAATGTGATTCTTCTACAAAGAGACTGCGCCTTTGTTTATTGTCTATTAATTATCTATTAATTAGTCTAACCGTCTGTATACTCACACTCTAAAAAATTTCATTTCATCTGCTTATTATTGTCTATTATCGGTACTAATACATGTTACTAAAACATCAAATTGATAATTATTAATACTCGGATTTTTTGAGTGTAAGTAATAATTTTTCTTTCAAGTAGTGCAATTTTATATTTTGATTCTAAATGAAAATTTGTTCGAAACGTAATAATATCATATTTGAAAATAAATGCCATATTTTGAATATTTTATATACTTTTGCGTATTATATTTATTCTGTAGATTTTTGAGAACTCGAAAATACCCGAAAATGCATAAAGAAACGTCCGCAGTCTAATCATAAATGAACGAAATTCCGGTTAGAGAAGAATAATGTCTTCTTATCATACTATTTTGATTAACTCTTTTTAACATGTTATCTGAAATTTTCCAACACTAGTTAAGTTTATTCATTTTTACACGAACTGTTTTTAATAAATAGTTATATGTAAGTGTGTTGATGTTAAAACGAGTGAATGGATATGTTGTGTGCTTGTTGTATAATTTAAACTACACAATAATTATATATATTTCTTTTCGATTGAAATTATGATCAAAATCGATTGAATAATTGCGATTTTATTTCATATTCACGGTTGCATCAATCATTGATTGCATCAATGAATAATCAAGTTGAAACTGTAATAGTGTCGTAACATGCATTTTTTTTTTTTTTTTTTTAGATCGAGATAGAAGTGTTCCCGAAGAAAAATTGCGAATACTAGTAGTTTAAAGATAAGGGGTAATAATAAACGTTCCATTCTTCTCTTCTCAACGGCCTGTACATAAAATACCTTAACTATTGTATAGCGAAGGAAATATTATGCTCGATTGGTCGATCAACTGCGACTTAACATAATTTTACAGGTGTGCGACTTGCTTACTCATAAATATGTGTAAATTGCCCGACTTCAAATCGACCAGTTTAGCTACGCGCATATGTTCTCGGATAATAAACTATCATTAACTAATTTCATCTAAATTTCCTTTCATCTAAATTTCCTCCGAATTCTATCCCCCTGTCTACATAAAAAGAAAAATTGATTTTTAAATTGAGTTTAAAATCAGATATTTAAAGCCACATCGACACTAAGGTCTATTTGTGAGTAATATGCTTACATAGAAAATTAAAGTACGGTAAAAGATATTACATTGAACATAATAGTAATGTTAATGTCACAATAAGTCCTGAAAGAAATTTAAAGCACAAAAAGATTTTGCAATATAAAATTACCTGTCAATCAGTGAAGCTGTTTCTCAGGTGATTTGGAAACATACTGGACATTTTATATATGCCACTCTACTTATGGGAGCGCGATTATACTATATCAACGTAACACTAAAAAAAAATACAATTGAAACAAACGCGATGGAGAAATATCGCAACACTAGTTCTTGAAAGAAATTCAATAAAAATTGTTAACTTGTCTAGAAAGAGAAAAATTACTTTGATAACTACAAATATTAAGACTATAGTCAGTTAAAAGTTAACATTAATTTAAAAACAATATAAAAAATTTTTCAAGAATTTACAGTAATTTATAATTCGCAACAGTAAATCACTTATCATTTTTTCAATTCTAATATACAAACTGAAATAAATATTTTTCCGCACTGTTAACTCTATAACGCGAAATCATCATTACTTCGCAGCTCTAATACAAACCATAATTAATTAATTCTTTAAAACTGTAATTTATACTAATAAAGAGGATGTTAATAAAGACCGCGATTTGTCTAATTTGTTGGTGGGCCACTACGTACTTCAAGAAAGAATATTATTACATACTACAAATGCTAAAAGTGAGCATAGTGACAAAGTAGTAAAAGGAATGACTACCCATGCTCTGAATGGATTTTCCATTCAGAAGATGAGAGGCCATTAATAGTTACCTCTTCTATGGCAATTTGCCGGGCCTCTTCAGCTCATAACTTCTTTCTTTGGGCGCAATGCCCGCTGCAACTTACCTCTAGGCTCGAGACACCTGAGAGAAGTTGATTCAATTACACATAAACGATGATCGTTTAACTATCTTTCATCGTTCACATGATGGAGTAATATATTAGCGTTCGTTTGGAGACAAAGTCGTGATCACGACTGCGAAATTTGGAAGATGGATGGGTAAAACTACTGACCTATCTACTTATAATTAATACACACATACACACATACACACCAGAAAATATGCTACCAATCCTATCCAGCTCCCCTCCCATGATACAATATTTATTATCAAATTATACATTATTTATACATTATTTATACATTATTTATACATCATTTATACATTATTTATACATTATTTATACATTATTTATACATCATTTATACATCATTTATACATTATTCATACATAATTTATACATTATTATTTATGTATTAAAAAATGGTAAAAGACAGGAGAATCAACACAACTCACTCCACGGTTTTCACACATACCACCCGGGCGCAGATCTACGCTAGAGAGGACATTTTCCTGAAATCAACTGACAATGGCTAGCGAACATTGCGTATAATATGACATGCCGTTAGATTTTAATTAAATATAAGTATTAATTAATTACAGTATTTAATAATTTGGTGTATTCAATAGCATAAATTGCAATCACATCAATGGTGCTTGTGCATTTTGTTAATATTATTAAATTATATTGCTTGAAGTGACAGTAAAAACGACGCAATTCCACATCCTAACCATACACGCACGCACACACACACACACACACACACACACACACATGTGGAAAATACATCGTGCACGATACACTAACCCATCGTCAGTCGCTGAGAAATTATTAAGCTTATAAACTATGGTCATCATGCCCACTGCCTTTCTCCCACTCAAGTAGCACCTGAGCACGTGAGTGAGATCCTGGCAATGAACACGGAAAGAAAACCTGAAAATCCTGAGCTAAAAAATGATTAATATATTTATTTTAAATATATTCTCTAACGGTCTAATATTTCTCGATATTGATATTGCGGTTTTATTTTATTTCAATTTTGAATTGACTTTACTTTATAAATTTAATAAATTACTGAAACGTTACATATATCAAAGGGTTGACAACAATGAGAATATTTATTGGAAAAGAGACTAGAAGTCTTTGCAAATGATATAAATTCATTGAACAATATTTAACTCTGAGTGAATTATTGATAAAAATATTCTCAGGCGATCCCTTCGTCAAAGCAAATTCACTAAAAGATAAAAAGTAAAGTTCACAATTATTGCTTTGATTCTGATATCTGCCTGTCGCGAATTGTTTTCTTGCACGTTTGACACAATATGTCACTAAATCATCTCATTTTGTATCATCTCATATTATCATCATTGTAATATTCATTTATTTAAATGGATATTTTATACACTAATATATTCCATAATTTTTAATCATATCGCCGATCATGTTATTCATACTATAATATTATACTTAATAATTATAATCATGTGTGTATTATTATAGTCTACATTAGATTCAATTAACTATATTGCATAGCAATTAATGGATTATTATTAATTAAGACAATGTGCAAGAAAACCTATCCTGAACTAATATGACACAGACAAGAAAATGTTACTACTCACGAGTATAATAAATACTCGCGGTCACTATGCTCATCAAAAAGAAATTTATAGAAATATAATACAACCAGTCACTCGTGTCGATTCGGATCTTTCATCCTACGACATGATTGAGTGACCGGAGGAACATAAATGCATGCAACTCACGTTTAGGTACCAAGAACATTGTCGTCGGTGTGGTTATGATGCTGACAGTCATCGTGAAATCCGTCATAAAATATGAATTATCCAAGGTGAAATAAAATACCGGCAATTTATTAAAAAGTCTGAAACAATAAATGACAGAACAACATAAAAATTATATCATCATATTCCAGTTAATTACAAATCACAAATAATTCAAAAAAAATAAAGTATTAAATAACAAGTAAAAATACTTACATTAGTTGCTTCTGAAGAAAAGTAGGAAAGCTGGAGCTCTGCAGAAGATTAGGAGATAAAGACAACTGTAAAAAGTCGAAAATATTTAGAAAAAGAAATAGCCTAGTAAGCAATGCAAATAGCCATGCAAATAGCCTTGGCACCAGCGATAGGTTTCACCCTCGGCGAGGAATCTTGGACTCCAAGCTCTAGATATTTAAACCTCATTCTGTAGCTTCGGC